CACTGCAGAAGTATGGTAGAATGTAGTTAAACATGTATTTCATGAAACAAAAAGGGGGACAGTTTAATACCTAGCACTAGGAAAGGAGCCTGGAGCAGATAAACCGTATGTGCGCACAACTAGTTTAGACTTTTTCAACACTGAAACAGAGTACATGTAGTCACATTAACTGCAAGCAAGTACTCACATAATTCATTCTGCATGCTCGGATGATGCCAAACTGAGCAAAATAATCCCTCACTTCATCTGATGGATAGAAAGATACACATTTGTCAGCCAATAAAATCAACATGCAGTTATCATGGTTATGTTCAATGCAATCTTGACTCTTCCCCATACTTGGGCAGATACCCCCCTTCACATGCCCGAGTCTGTGAGTTGATTTATCCATTCCTACTGTATGAATGGATTTCATTCAACATGTATAAAGGCAAATCAACTCAGGATGAAGTACAATAAATTTGCCCAAGATTCAAGAAGTGCATTAAATGAAGTGTTTTTATTTCTCCGTGCATGGGTAAGAGTTCAAAATAAGGTTGCCCTTTGACAACCTGTGCACAAACCCTATATCAAACTCTGTAGTGTTTTCTACTTGGTTATATGTACCTCAATATTTTCTTGGCTAACGTTGGCTAAATTGGACTTTTTTATGTGCAGGTCACGTTATTCATGTTATGGTTGGTACAGCTCCGTTATCTTGTTATTATTCTCGCTGGTTGTCAGATCATGACATGTAGATAGCTTAATAATAGGTTTAGTAATGATAGGCCAACTAACTGCAGGGAAAATGAGTGGTGTCCGTAGCGGCGTAGGCTATGGAATTTTCCCCAAGTGTATTTTAGCTGGGATGATAATAATAGAAAAACATTATTAATTGGCCTAGGTCAGACCAGTCTTAGGCCTAACGTTAATAATAAATTAAGGCATATAGGACCTAGAAGTACATGTAGTAGGCCTAGTACTACTACTAGGCTACTTAGTACTATGTGTGGTTTTGTGTACCATCTGACTAGCTCTACTGAGTGGAACGTTAGTATTCCTCTTTTTCGATTTTGGACGGGATGGTCATACCAACACTCAACTACATTACATATAGTAAGGTGAAAATGGTTCTCAAAAATTCCACAAACTCACCAAAAATACCTCTTTCACCACCTACTGGCTTTCTTAAATGCCAAAGGAAAATTTGGGGGGCTTTAGTGATATTTCTGACTTCAAAATCTGTCAAAATCCAACCGTTTTTGCTGGACACACGCACAGCACTAGAACTTTTTGCCGTCTGCTCCATTCAAACACCTGGGCCAAACAACTCTATGGGCAAACATGGTCTTCCCAGAAACACCCATGAGCGGCCTATACGTGGTCTGGGCACAAGACTTGTTGATCATGACGGTTGGGCGTGCTACAAGCAACTCTTTCTTGGTCAATACGTCTTGTGCCCCGACTACATTTGTGCCTCTCCCGTGGTTTCATTAGAGGACCATGTTCGCCCATAGAGGAAACAGTCGCTGGTAGAACTACCAACCGTCACGATCAATAAGTCTTATGCCAAGACCACGTATAGGCTGCTCATGCGTGTTTCTAGGAGGACCATGTTTTGCCCATAGAGTTATTGTGTATTTTAAATCTCTTTTAAATTTGAAAGGAACAGGTGGCAAAAAGTTCAAATGCTGTGCGTGTGTCGAGCGAAACGGTTGGATTTTGACAGATTTTGAAGCCAGAATTATCATTGAAGCCCCAACCGTTTGACGTTGGCATTTATGGAAGCCAGTAGGTGGTGATAGAGGTATTTTTTGTGAGTCTTTGGAATTTTTGAGAACCGTTTCGACCTTACTATATGTACAGGCGTGGAACGTTAGGCAAAAAAAATAAATCTCCGGTTTCTGGTCACCATGCGCATCGCCGTAGACCTGCACATCAGCAATCTTTATTTTGCATAAAACAATTTCCAAAAGCTGCCAAACGTACTTGATCGGCAGGAATCCTGCTACCGCATAAATTTAACATCTTTTTGATGGGTGGGGTTGAGTAATATGTATGGTGAAGGAATCCCCCAGGCCTCCATACACTTCAGTCGGGTACTCTTATCAGATGACGTCATTCGTGTATCTTTACACGAAGGCCGTGTCCGAATCAATTGGCTGCGCCTTGATAGTACTACGCATGATCCAATGGGAGCTGGACGTGGATGCTGCCAAATACTCAGTGTAATTTCTGACTGTAGCCAATTGATTTGGAAACAAGTCCCACGTCTGTGAACCAGACAAACAAAGTGGTCTTACACCCTGCTTACATATACAAATTGAAAATGCTGCTAAGCAACAAACCGAGAGGGGCCAGTCTATTTCAGTGTTGGTGAGGCACTGGCGGTACATACGCATGCTGGCCATGCGCTCTGAAGTATATGTGCATGAACATCACTTCTAAGGAAAAAAAAGGTGGGAAAAAAAAAAGCGTAACCGCGCCACTTTTGGACCAAGCCTGTGACCAGAAACCAGAGTTTTTTTTTCTGGCCTTAGTATGACGATCCCGTCCAAAATCGAAAAAGAGGAATACTCACTAGCATGACTAGTAGCAATAGAGCTAGCATCTGACAATGTACCACCAGAACTGTGGGCTCCGACATCTACCCAGAACTGTCGAGTCTGACACCTAAGTTTGTGACAATCTTGCAGTTTGGCTTTCAGGCATTTGAGACATTCCTTGAAGTAGGGCTGTGGTGGCAACAGAAAAGACAGAAAAGAGACAGATTGTAAAAGAGAGCCACCACAGCCCTACACGTAGGTGTGGGGCTAGTACATTACTTCCAACACCATGTACACACTCAGTCATATCAGTTTAAAGCACGGTGTAAATATAGTAATGTTAATGTGCTCCTGGTGATGTCCGTACGCATGGATTGAATGTGAAACAAAAACAATCACCAAATTCAAACAACAATTATGGCCTACTGGTGCCTGCCGTCCATGGAAGTCTTGACACGAAGATTTCATGAACCCTCCTTGCTGCTCCTCTGGCTGCCATTTTGTCGAATGATGTATGCACGTACGTGCGCGCGTGCGGCTACGTTACTGTACGGTCGTACTTAATACTATTATTAACAAGGAGTGTCTAATCCTACCTCCTTGAGTAGGGGAAAACAATTTTGAGCTCCAATTCACGGTAAAAACGAATTTAGATATGAAAAATCAGCATTATTACTGTTGTTTGTAATGTTTTGAAATCAAAAGTTAACGAAGATAACTGAACAAACTGAGTTTTTGGTAACAATATACAATTCTTAATTAGACCCTCTGAAGATAATGGATTAGTCGACATCGTAGGCTTATTTAAGATGGCTGCGCCCATGGAGGATTCGGACGGTTCACGCGAAAACAAACAAGAAAACGATGAGTTTCGAGTCCAGTTTAAACGTTACAAGAGACGAAAACCTCCCCCTGATCTCAGTGAGGTGATAGATTTTCAGAATTCGCAGTGGGTAAGACTTGAAGATATTTTTAATGTTTACAAACTTCGTCCCTGGTCATGCCCAGTAAGGTTGGTCTAAACTATGGTCTATGGTTAAAATGGACATTAATAATTTAGCCGTCGCCAACAAATTTGTACCTGCATGTTTAAACTTAACTAGACCTTAACGTTATTTAGCCAGCTTGAAGTAGACATTGCCCTCTTTGGTGCTTAATTAAGGTTATTAAATGAGGCTTAGCAACAGATTAGGGAAAGAGTTCCATGTAAGGTCTGACGGTTAACACTGCAGGGATAGGCCCTACTGATTTTCCCTTCAAAATGTATAAGCTATTAACTGTCACATTTGCTGTCGAAATTTGTATATATTTTTTTTCTCTTCTCTCTCTCATTTTCTAATATTTAGTTTCCAGCAATTCCTTTCCTTTCAATTTCCTTCCTTTTTCCCTTCATCGTAGATTGGGTAAGTATTACTACATGCATAAGAAATTTCTTTCTTTTTTTTTTCAGTGTACGCGGCGTAGGTTGTACTGTACAATGCCTACGCACACACACACACAAGTATCCCTATAGCCTGTGCGCTGAAGGATTCAGCGGACCGTGTTTATGTGAATATTTATAAGTTATTTGAGTGAAGCTTTTATTTTGGGTCTGTGACTGTTTGGTTTTTGTAACGTAAATCAGTGCCGTGGTCATGTGATGAAAATAAACAAAATCCCCGCGAGAAAAATAACCCGAGGTGGTAAGACGCAATA